GGTCGAAAACCCTCTTGCACAGTCACAGCTGTTGTCTCTCACCCGGAAGCTCTTTCAGGATATAGAAGGCTTCTTTTGGAATGGTCTTTTATAGTCGATGGAACGAAAAAGTATCGGTCAAGGGTCGACCTTGTCTGATGACAAAAGGTTGCATTTTAGGTTGGCGCCTTATAACCGTATGTAGGGCCAAATTTTCCCAGCCCCGTAAATCGCTATAGTTCTTACGATTGGATCATGATCAACCTTTGTAGGTAGGTTTCTGCTTCAAACCTACGCAGAAGGTGCGAAGACGTTGCGGGACCAGTTTTGAGCAATCAAGCCCCATCCTTGAATAGTTTTGGTTTCATTCTGCATTCTTCACTGTTTCGTTTTCATTTCAATATCACATCTCTGATTTGCAGCTTTTTTACGGATCACTTTCCCTGATTCTTATTTCAGGAGCAACTGCAGCGGTGGCATTTACTGCGGGCAGGTTCGGACAACTCGTCCAACACACGTCTCCCTAAACGGCAGGGGGAGTCCCTGTCTAAGCCCCTGCCCGACGTTTTTTTCTACTTTTTCTTTCTCCATTGACCAACTTCTCACCTGCAACGTCATTATAGGTGGTCCTTACCCGCGAATTCGTTCCTGGATTGTTGCTTTAATTCTTTGAAATCACTTTATTATATAAATCACAATTTAGTGTGTTGGTTTGCTTGTAAGTTTGTCTGTGTGCCTGTCCGCAAAATGAAGTGAGTGATAAGGCAGTTAATGGAATAAACAAGCCGCTAACAAATCTGGGTAGCTCGCAGGGCTTGCCTATCAATGTTTTGCAATGGCATGATTGTGATAACACCTCAACGGCTATATAAACACCTACTTAGCACACTTTGGTCATTCCACAAGGTGCTGCAGTGGCAGCTGGAGAGCAGTGAAGGAGGAGGGAAGCAAAGCTTACGCAGGGAAGGTATGCTACGGCGATTGCAGGGGGACCAAGCTGGTTTTATTCAAAGTATTAGGTCGTGAAGAAAGTTCTTGCGCTTTTCGACCTTGATTTTCAAATGCCTGTATCTCGGCTCATTCGAAACCTTTTTGATTGGAGTAAAGACTGTTAGAATCCACAAACCTCTGCCAATAATAGCTGCGTTGAATCAGCCCGGTAGTGCAATGCCGGAGAACTTTTGCAACTTCTGCAGGGTTGGTTGTGGAATGTGCGTCCGAGCTACCTGTCAGGGACGAGCCGGTTCCTTTATAATGAGGAATTTCGAGCATATGTGCCAGAGTTCTAGGAGTAGTTTGACACATTATCAGGAGTACTTTTTCCACATTAACAGATCCACCTGGTTACGAAAAGCTAGACCAGCCGCTGACCTTATGAAAGTCACCTCAACCTTCCTTCAGTGAAGTTTCACTTTTGCAAAGTTTGTAGAGCCTGATCGCGGTCGATCACTTCACCAAAGGTTCGTATTCTGTAGCAAAGAATCCGTTCTTTGTCGTGCGTCGCAAATGATCAAAAAGTCAGGTCGTTTTCATGGCATGAAACAAGCTAGAACGCGAATCGCGGCACGCCCTATTTGAATTTTTGGGACTTTCCAGCTCTTCCCGTACAACAAGAAAACACAATGCAAGTGCGATTAGTTTAGGAGGAACCCTCTCAATAGATTTGTGCAAACGTGCTTCAACCAGAACGTTCGACTAATCGTTGGCGTTGTCCAATCTCCGATCACCACCCTCACAATCTTTAGGGCTCTTACAAAAGCTTTTTGAACAATTGCTTCAGACCATATTTATTGCGAATCTCAGCCAAGTGCGTCTATAATATCTTGACCTGCTTCCTCTCCATACTGGCCTGCTTTGAGCTAGAAAAAGGAAATCATGCAAATTTGCTCTTGGAGTATGCCGTATTCAAGGCTTCAAAAAATGACAACTAAATAATAAGGAACATAGCTAGCCTAGCTGTTAGATAGAACAAGAAAAGCTCTTCAAAACCACATACAGCTCATTGGCAGCTTGCTTGAATTCGTAACAAAATAAAGCGTTCAAAAACGAAACACCGAAAAGCGCAAGAACTTTCTTCACGACCTAATAGAAGTTATGCAAGAATATCTGTCAGAAGGATCAATTCCAGCTTTCCTTGACAGATATTTCATTCCTTTTCTGGTATCCACAGGCCCGCTCAGAAATAATTGAATATATCTCTATGTCCCATGTACTTGCCCCCTCCAATGCCGGAGAAGATTCTGCGAAAGCGCTCCATATCCTGAAAGACTTTCCTGATTAGAAGGAGATAACCCAAGATGCAAAATTTTGATCAGCCAAGATCGATCCCTTAGACGATCCATTTTTCGTTTCATCTATTTTGAAGACCATTTTAAAAAGCCCTCCATATCCTGAAAGAGCTTCCCGGTGAGAGACAATAGCTGTGACTGTGCAAGAGGGCTTTTGACCAGCGTTTGTGATAATGTCACAATGGTTCACTATCCGTCGAGGTCGCTCTATATGTGTAGAGGAGTGACCTTTCTTCTGTCTATAGAGTACTATGAGTATAATTATTACAAAGAATTCGTGCGACGTTTTTCGGGGGGGGGGGGAGGGGTGAAATATTGAAAATAGCACAGCACGCTAGTGGACTGTGTGTGGGAAAAAATTTGATAAATAAAAAATGAGCATATAAATTGCACAAGGATACATCACAGATCATTTGAACGATTTATTTAAAAGTTCCGTTACAATTGTAAATATAACTATAGAACTGTTGATTTGGTACCGCACTTGACTATAGCATGCTCAATGCATGCTCGACTTAACGTTTTCGCCCAGTGGTACCGGCACCGGCTCCCGCATTACCGGTTGCCGCTCCTCCAGCATTAGTGGTACCGGCTCCTGCATTACCAGTTGCCGCTCCTCCAGCATTAGTGGCACCGGCTCCTGCATTACCAGTTGCCGCTCCTCCAGCATTAGTGGTACCGGCTCCTGCATTACCTCCAGCATTAGTGGCACCGGCTCCTGCATTACCTCCAGCATTAGTGGCACCGGCTCCTCCACCACCAGTTGTCCCAGAATTCGGAGCGCAGGCCTGTAACAGAAGTACAATGTTATGTTATCATGCCGGAATTCTTTTTCTAACAAATATTTTCAAGTGTCATAGTTTGTTCCAACTGTTCATGAATTTTATATCCTCATATGTTCACAATCTGTGGCCCTAAATTATCATTAGCACACTTACCAGCGAGGTCGCGATGACACTGAGAATAATTAGCAAATGAACCATGTCGATTTGGTACGCAGCGTCACG